ATGCTGCCGGCCGCAGGGCTGGCGAGGGCGCGGGCTCTGGGCTCCGGTGGCCGCTGATGGGAGGCGGCACCCGGGCGGGCGAGCGACGGCGCCGCGGCCACAATGGGGAACAAGCAGACCATCTTCACCGAAGAGCAGCTGGACAACTACCAGGTGAGCCCGGCCGCCCCGGCCCCCGAAGCGGCGCCTCTCGGCCCCTCCCCTCTTTTTTCCCCACGCTTGCCGAGGCCTCCCGAAAGCCGGTTCACCGGGTTCAACCATGCTTCTGCTTTCAATTCGACCGTGACCTTGGGCCGGTGACTTCTCTGAGCCTCAGTTTCCCCACCCCAGGAATGAGAGCGCTTTCCAGTTAGCTTCTCACAGGCATGCCTCGCTCCGGCCTCCCCTTCCTCTAGCTCTCTCATTCAGACTTCTTACTCTTGGCCCCAGACCGGACCGAACCCTTCCCCAACCACTCATCCCAGCGCCCCCTTTGGCGCGGAGAGGGAGTCATTAAAGGGGCTGGAGGAAGTACCCTCCACCCACCTAAAACCCAAGAAGCAGCTCAGGAGAGTGAGTTTCTGCAAAGCGGAAATGAGCTGGGTATGAGTGAGGTGCTTCAGCCCCCGAAGGCGATTGTAGTTTGGGGGTGTCTCGTTATCCACTGAGATCTCTCCCTCCTGCCCCAGCATGGAAATAACTGGAGCAAGAAAACAAGCCAGATACTAGTCTTACATGGTCACCTCCCCAAGCTCTCTCAGGTCCCCAGCAGCCACCCCCTTAGACTGTTCTAGGTCCCTCTGCCTCCAGAGCCAGGGAGCTGTCCACATCAGACCCCAGTGCCCTCCCATCCCTGTACAAACTTTTCGTGGTTGCAGGATGGAACACTGCCTGCTGTCTTGCCCAGAGCCCTGGCCAGCCTGCACAGGTCCCTTCCCTGCCCTGTGCACTGCAGCCACCCCAGAACTACCTGTGTTTGCATGACACCAAGCTCTTTGCTCCCTCTCTCTGCCCATGCTCTGGGGTGCCTAGACTCCAGATGATCTGGCTCATCCTTCTAGGCCCAACTCAGATTCCTCTTTCCCATCTCTGCCAGAAAAAGGGGGCTGGACGGTGTTGTTGCCTGTGTGGAGTGTGCTTGGGAGAGGTGAACACCAGCAGGGCCTCCGCAGTCTCCTGTTGCCTTCGTGAATATTTACTTTAGGATTGAACTTAAAGTGTGGGTTCTCTGATGTGGGCAGAGGTAAAATAAAGTCTCCTTTTCCTCCTAAAATCCCTGATTGTCAATGACACAGATTTCTCAGTTCCACGTGAGGCCCTGAGAAGGGCTGGGGGTGCCATGTAACCTCAGATGCCCTGTGTGCATCAACTCATTGGGTCATCACAGTGAGGCGGATTATTAGCCACATTTTACAGGAGAGTAAACAAAGTCTGAGGAGCCATTCAGTACCCTGCCCAGGAGGGTTCACCTAAGAATTTGGGAATTGTGGATCTAAGGGTCACTCCTTTTGTTGGCGATGGGGCTATGTGTGGTCTTGGTCTCAAAGGCACTCACTGTCTGCAGAGACGGAGGGTGAGAGGCAGGCTGTGACTGTGCCGTAGGGGAGAGCACCAGTGGGCAGTGGGAGGCCAGGAGGGAAGGTGGGCTTGGCTTTGATCAGTTTAGAAATAGTGCCGCACTTGCACAGACCCTTGAAAGATAGAATTTTGCCCATCAGGGCCCAGAAGGCGGCATTCCAGGGCAGAGCGACAGCTTGGGTAAAGGCTTGGAGGTGAGCCCATGCTCAGAAGAGTAGCCCCGTGGGCGTGGGGAGCCTGGGTCCCCACTCAGACCAGCCTGGCATCGGGTTGCCCTTCGGAGGCCGGCCCAGTGCTGGGTTCTGATCCTTTGCCAGAAGCAGGGCTCGGTGGGAGAAACAAGAGCTGTGAAACCTGAGAGCCCCACATCTCCCTCCCTGGGACTCTCCAGCCAGTCAGGACCAGCTGAGGGTGACCCCTGAGTAACAGCTGCCCCTCCCCCAACTGATCCCCAGGGATTCCTGTCCCCTTCCCCGGTCCCCAGGTGCCAGTGATTCCCAAAGTTCAGATTTCTTCCCTGACCACTTCTCTGTCTTCCAGATCCATCCCTCAGACCCCTCAAACTCCCAAGGGCTCACTGCCTTCCCCAGGACCCACTGCTGCTCCTCCAGCTGGTCTCTTTGCTTTCGCACAGCCCATGTTTTAGTCAAGAACAAGTCCTGTAACCCGGCCCCTTTGGGGCTCACCTGGGGATCCCCTCCTCCGTCTCCACAGCCGGGGCCCTGGGCCTGGCCTCTTCAGTCTCCCTGGGACTGCTGCCTTGCCCACTCCTCTCTCTGCGCCCTCCGGCCACCCGCACGCTTCTGCCACAGTCCCTTAGTTTCCCACTCCGCCCCCTTCCTTCCCTCCTTCCCACTTTCCTTGAACAGACACAGTGTGCATCACTGCTGTGAAGCAACTTTTCCTTTAAAAATAATCCCTGGCCCAGGAATCACATTGTACGTGTATTAACCAATCCCCTGTTGCTGTGGGTGACCCTGGGGAGTTGCTTGTAAGTAGGTCATGAATGCCCAGAGCAGAAGTGCAGGGTCAAGGATGTGAAGGATCTTTCTCAAACACCGATGTGACCCTCTCCTTTTCCTGTAATTCCACGGTGTCTTGGGGTAATAGCCCGAGCAAAGTCCAGAGCAGAGCTCACCCCAGCCTGGTCTGGGCTCAACCAGCCTCCAGCCTCATTCTTAGTCCCCTCCCCTGGCTCCCCTAGTTCCAGGCACACTGAACGGCTTCTAGCCAAGCATGGCCTCACCTATGGCCTTGTTCTCCTGACACCCTCCCCTCATCTCTTCACCAGCCCATTTTTCTGTCCAGGCCAGGCCTCACCTCTTTGGAACAGGCTCTCTAATGCCCTCCTCCCATCCTTCTCGTGGTCACAGAATGGCTTATACCCACTCATCACTGTCTGTTTACACTCCATCCCCCTTCCTGTGTGTCCGTTGCCCAGGCACAGAAGAGGCAGTGGAGAATATTGTATGAATGAATGGATGAATGAATACTTATTAAAGCACAGCTCTCAGGAGGGAAAAGAACTCCAGGGATTCTGAAGTCCTGAGTTCAAGTCATGGCTGGGCCACAGATGCTGTAGGCCTCGGTAAGCTCCTGTCCTCTTCTGGTCCTCAATGTCCCCACCTCTACAATGGGAATCATTACTAGCCCTGCTGTGCTCATGTCACAGGGCTGCTGTGGGGATCAGCTGAGCTGTGTGACAGCTGGGTGGTGCTGAGGCCTGAGCTGGCAGAGCTGGATGGAGAGTCTACTCCAGCTGAGACTGGCTGTGGCTCAGCTCAGGACCCCTGGCACAGGCACACCAGGCGTGTGGAGATGGGAGGCAGGGTGGCTGCCTGGGCAAAGTACTCGAGTTGAGCTCTAGAGCATGGAAAGAATTTGGACCAGGTGGGGAAGGCACTCCAGGTGAAGGATAGGAGTAATACAGTCTTGGAGGAGAAACTCCAGCTTCAACTGGCATAAATCTGAGCTTCTACTGTGAAAGCTCAGCCTGCCCTGTTTTCTGCTGCGAGTCCTGAGGGCCCACGTCTTCTGGACTAGGCTCCCTCTTTCCCTCCTGCCCGCCCCTCGTGACCCTAACCTGAGCAGGGATTCTACCCTCAAGATCTATCCCTGTAAACTGTCAGGGGCCAAGCAGTGATGGGGCATTTGTTCTCGGTAGAGTATAAGAATTCCTGCAGACCTATGGCTGTAACTTCCTGTGCAGCTGAGTATGTGGAGGGGGCTGGGGATTTTGTTTGGTGTCTTGAGTGGGAGCAGACTCTGAGTTTTGGCCTCTAAAGAGATGCCTTTGGGACATGGGGTAGTGGGTGGAGCTATTGCACACAAGGTGGAGAGAACCCTGCAAGCTGTGGCCCGTAGGCTTCCTGGACGTTATCTCATTTGCTCCTCTCATTGCCCTCTTCAGAGAGGCAGTATCCCCATTTTACAGATGTAGAAACTGAGGCTCCGAAAGGTGAATGATTTGCCTAAGGGTCCAAAACAAGATGAGAATTTGAATCTGACTACTAAACCTTTTCCTCTGCCATGCTGCCAGGCTACTCAGAACCCTGAGAAGCTTCTAAGGCACCTGCTATACTCATCTCCCGTGAGCTGCCTCCCTGGGGTGAATTCCAGGGAAATAAGTCGACAGAAGAAAAAGCAAAACATCAGTCGATAAGCAGGTTCATGGCAGCTTTATTGGTCATGTTGAAAACTGAGAAACAGCTGTGGCTAAATGTTCAGAAAGAGGAGGAAGGTCAGGTTATGCAGGGCCAATGCTTTCCATGAGATATTCCACAGCCAGTGAAGAGATAATGTAACTGCTATGGAAGACTTAAATGGAAAAATCTGATCACTCATCCCACCAGCCTGTACTGAGCAGGCACCCTCTATCAGATACAGGAATACACAGCGGAAGCAGGACATGGAGTGGTTGGTGTACAATGGTCCTAGGTGGGCTGTGGTTCTGTTTACAGTCAGTGGGCACTGGGCAAGAAGCACGTGGGCCTGAGATCCAGCCCAGTCCTCTGGTCTGCAAGTGCAACTTAGGGCAAGCTATTCAGCTTTGCTGAACCTCAGTTTTCCCATCTATAAAATGAGGAGATATTGCCTCCCCCCGGCATCTCCCCCTGTAGGCTATTGATGAGAATATTCAGAGCCCCAGTGGACCAGCCCAGTGCAATCATGGACTAGTTGTGGTGTGGTTCTCAACCTGGGCTGCACATTGCAGTCACCTGATGGCTTTAAAACTGCTGATGCCTGGATCCACCTCAGGGATTCTGGTGTAACTGATCTGGGGTCATTTGGAAGAGGGCACAGGGAGTTTAAACAGCTCCCCAGGTGATCTGCTCTAGAGCAGGGCCCTCACACTTTAGCAGGATCGGCATCACCAGCAGGACTTTTAAAATGCAGGTTCCTTGGTCCCACCCCACAGAGTTTCTGCTTCAGTAGGTCTGGAGAGGAGCTTGAGAATCTGAATTTCCACTGAGTCCCAGGTGATGTTGATGCTGCTGGTCCAGGAAACACACCTTGAGGACCAGTGCTGTGGACGGATGTAAGTAACTGTGATAAGGGGCCAGAGTCATGTGAGAAGCTTTTGCATCTGTTGCTGATGGAACCCTCAGTCAGAACCCAGATATTGCCTTTCTAACCCAAGGGATGGGGGGGTGGGGAGAGGATAGGTCAGTGGAAGGAGAGCAGAAGCCAGACCTCTCCCCATTCCCAGTTACATGCTGGTTGGGAGCGCCGTGGCCCTTCTCGCTGGGCAGCTTCATGCTGTAGAACCGGCCGTGGGGCCAAGAGTGGTCTGTACCTAGAAGGCCCCTGCCTGCTTCAGGTTTCTGGGGTCTGCTGAGAAATCAGCCTACCTGGTCTCCAGCCTGTCTGAGTCTTTGGCCTGCGAGGCAGGGAGTTTTCTGTTTGTGCTGGGTTGAGGGGGTGGCGGGGCACTGCTTGAGCCTCTCCTGGCTCCTACAGAGCAGCTCTCACGGAAGGCAAAGCCTTGCAACCCCAGGAGAAGCCTCTGTGTTTCCAGGAAGGGTAAGGCAGCATGGGGGTCCTCAGTCTAACTCCCGCCCAGCAGCATGTGGCTCCGGACAGACTTGTGCGGCTAACTGGGGCCTGGAAATTGCCATCAATTCTCTCTTCAGCTCTCCCTTGGGGGCCTAGTGGAAATCCTGGATGTGCATCCTGCCGGCCTCCTTTCTCGGGTCCTCCTCGGTGTGCAGTCCAGTTGCCCCGGTGCTTGGGGCTCCAGGTCTCATCCAGGGCAAGCCCGGCTGTCTGCGAGCCCAGGCGCAGCCACTAGCCCCTCAGCAGAGCCAGCTCTCATCCACACACTGTCCCAGGAGGCCCCACCGGCTCTGGGCTCTGCAGAGCCCCAGGGGCCTCCTCCCTCAGGCTGCGACACCAGGCAGACCTCAGGGGATGAGCACAAAATCCCTTCATGCTTGGGCACTTTCCAGAGTGCTGGGTCCTTTTCCCCTCCCTAATTCCCGTGAAGCTCGGCATAGTAGCCATCGTCACTAGGCAGGCCGAGCTGTGGATGGAGGCGTGACTGTGGGAGGCAGATGAGTTTACAATCTGGGTGGCCTCAGGCTGAGTGCTGCCCCCACCCTGAGCCACACCTGCCTGCAAGCCCCAGCAGCCTCCGCGCTGGCCTCTGTCCAGATGCTGCCAGTCCCCCACTACTCACCTTCCTCCTCCCCTCTCCTCCTCATCTCCTTACTTTCCCCCACCCCATCCTCTCCATTACCTTCCCCAGGTGACCTCATCGATTCCTGTGGCTTCAGATGCCAGTTAGGCACTGGTGCCTCCCCAGTCTGTGTGCCTGGAACGCTCAGTCTCTGAGCACGGGGCTGCTGCCCGCGGCCACCCAGGACACACACAACTCCACGAGGCCCCGTTCTCAGGGGCTGCAGCGTGGCCGGAGCCCCCTGCAGCTGGGCAGCACCGTGGGTCTGCCGGTCCTCACTCCTGAGTCTGTCCTGAGTTGTCTGCCAGCCACTTGCCCGTGGTGTCAGTGGCATCCCCCTCTGAACTCTCCATCCGCCTCCCAAATGCCCTCCCTGACACATGCCTCCCAGCTACCCAAGCCACACACTCAGTTCCCTAGGTCGGGCAAAAGCTTCAGGAGGCAATTTCTAGACCCACTAGACTGCTCTCCGCATTGGGCTGGGGCAAGGAGGGGTGGTGGTGACACTTCTGCCCCCAGCCCGGGGCTGGCTGTTCGTGTGGCTCTGAGGAAGGGAGGAAGGAGCCCAGGCCCCCTACAAACAACTGTATGTGTGTTTTCCCTCCACAGGACTGCACCTTCTTCAATAAGAAGGACATCCTCAAGTAAGTGTGGCTGGTTCACCCCTTGGAGTGGGGCGGGGCCGGGAACCCCCAGGGTGGGAGCTGCTCTAGTGGAGGAAGAGCTTCCGCCTCCATCAGCTGCCACGTGCCAGCTGCTGTGTGAACTCAAGAACTTCCCACCTCTCCCTGGCCCAGATCCAGAATTCTGCCAGGAACGGAACATCTACTCACTGCGTGCCCGGCTCCATGGTGGGCTTTTTCAGGAACATTTTCATTTAATCCTCACTGTGCCCTTGTAACAGGAGAACCCTTTTATCCCCACTTTACAGATGGGGCTAGCAACTTGGCCAAAGTCCCCCAGCCAGGGGCTGAAGACCTGACCTCTGACTCCAGGCTTCATGCTATTCCACTGCATCCTGGGACCTGTCAGACTTGGGGGGGTCCCTGTCTGTTAGACTCAGGGTCCCTAAGAGCACTCTGGCTCTGATGTCCTCCCACTCCTGGGAGGTCCAAAAGTCAGGGGCATAGCAGGCAGTGCCCCCACTGTCCCTGAGCTGTCCACCAGGGGTCTCTTCCCTTTCCAAGACAGTCCCTATCTTTGGGGAGGGGTGGGCCTAGACAGGAGAGATGAAGGGGGGGTGGCAGCCTCAGAGCCCCAGGGCCAGACGGTGAGCAGGATTCACAGAATGCCCGGAAAGCTGCCCCACGGGCCTTGCCACGCCCCCTGCTTGTGCTATCGGGTGGCACTAAAAGCCATGATCTCAGGATCGCTTTCTCTGGAGGTCGATGGCAGGCTGGGGCCAGAGCCTGCTACAGCTTCCCAGGGGAGCTGTGGTTTGTCATTGCCCTGACCACTCTGCTCAGACAGTGTCCCTCATCCTTCTTCTCTGTCCAGGCTGCTTGTCCAGCCTGCCCCCTGGGTGGGCCGGGATGCCCGCTTCTACCACCCGGAGAGGCAGGGGGAGGGGCCAGGCCCCCAGGCCTTGGCATCAGCAGACCTGGGCTCTACTCCCACTTCCCAGCTCAGGCCTAGGACAAGCTTTCAGCCTCGCTGAGCCTCTGTTTCATCTATGAAGTGGAGATAATGATACCTACCCTCATTGCACTGCTGAGAGGCAGCAATGCCAGGGTGTGAGAGCTGATAAATGGGATCTGGGCTATAGCTTGAGCGATGGGTGGGGTAGGGTTCCGTTTGGTCAGATGGTCCTCAGAACTGTAATAACGGCCATCGCCCCCGGCATTCCTGTGGCATCTTACCTTCCAGGGTTCTTGGCACAGATCCTCATTTAAGCCTCACCACACTTACTCTCTGTTGTGGGGAGCTCCCACCCTCCTGACCTCCCACCTTTGTAGATGCCAAGCCCAGGCAGCTTATCCTCTGAGGCCCATGACCACTGCTGTTCTGGCAGCAAAAGCCTGCCCTCAGGCCTTTGCACAGGCTGTCCCGCTGCCCGGAGTGCCCTTTCTCGTCTTCCCACTGCATCGCTGCATGTCCTTCGAGACCCACTCCAGAGTCATCTACCCTGTGAGCCCCTGACTCTGCCGTGCCCCCAGCTCTCAGGCAGCTGCTTTTGCAGCCTTTTAGGGGGCTCTGTGGGCTCATGGCTCAAGTGGCCAGCTTCCCCAGAATCAGAGTCAGGCAGGGCGCAGGCTCCCC